CTCTCTCTCTCTCTCTCTCTCTCTCTATATATATATATATATATATTCATTTCTCTTTTTGAGACAGGGTCGCACTCACTATAGCCCTAGTTAGCCTTGAAATTGTGCAATTCTCTTGTCTTATCCCCACAAGTGGGGATTACAGGCGTAAACGACCATGACCAGTTTAAAATAGTACTATTTAGAGTGTTATTTCTTGGATTTTTCAGCTTTAGGCATTATCTACTGACTTTTGGTAACAGGAAATGAAGATTTATCTCTCTTTACATCTTCTTACTCTACCAATATTATAATTTTGTTAAAGTATAATTAGCATTTATGTTATATCTATAGAAGTCCCTCCCATCTGACTCATGAAATATTCTGATTACATATCCTTTCTTGTAAACTTTCAATATAATTAGTCAACTTTTGGGGCTTAGTTTTCTTTGCTACTACTGCAGTCTTTTGGACTCTTTAACTAGAAGCTTCAGAGTACTATTTTCCAACTGGTAAAACATATAAGGTGATCTTCCAATTATTTTTCTTTTAAACATTTTTATCCTACAGTATGAAAGCCTTCGAACTTCACTTGATGCCTCTTGCCTTTCTTCCTGGTCACTACCTTAAACATTAATGGTTCCTCAAGTTTTATCATTAGTTTTCTTGTCTCATGCTATGCACTTCCTGAAGAGGCTCATTTGCTCCTGCCATTTTGTCAGTGCTCTTATGGAATAATGAATCCTAAATCTCTGTTCTCAGAATGGACTTCTGTCCAAAAGGACAATCCTACACTTTGAACTCTTTTCAAGGTTATTCCCAATCAGATGTCTCATGGGGACTTCCAACTCAAGTTTAAGATTGAATCCCTCTCTCCAATTCTAATTCTAGTCCTGAATTCTCTATTTCTATTAGATTTCTATTATTCTTACCATCAAAGAACTAAGTCATTGTAAATAAAAATCAATAGCTTTTATCTCTACTATATTCCTATATCCAAACTGCTGACTTTGTCTCTAAAAATTGTTCTTAATTTTTTTCCTACCTCATCCTCAATAATTTATAGAAGCCTTTTTTGTTTCACACTAATTGTTATAATCTTTACTCACATTCAAGACTCTGTTAACTGCTCCAACCTAGGCCAGTGTTATCCCATATACACTGTTATAATCAACACTACCATACTATGTTATTTATGTACAATTATCTCTTCAAATGCTGTCATAATCAGCATTATCATACTGTATTACATATGGACATATCTCTCTTCCAGCCATCTGTGTGCCTTTATCAATTTCATCTAGTACAGTACATGCCTGCTTACTTCAGTAAGTAAATGAATATGCCACTGTCTCTCCTGAACTCTATTTTCCATACCTTTCTACAACACAGATCTGACAGTGTTATAGTCATCAAAATCATGTAGAATCCATTAAATTTCTTTTGAGAAAGGGTCTCCTTTATAGCCCAGCTGGCCTGGAACTCTCTATGTAGACCAGGCTGGCCTTGAACTCACAGAGATCCACTTGCCTCTGCCTCCTGAGTGCTGGCATTAGAGGCAGGTGCCACCATGCCCAGCTAAAATCCACTAATATTTTAAAATTATTAATTACTATTTTAAATTAATTAAAAATTAATATTTTTAAATCATGGATTTTATCAAGGCATTTTCACGCATGTCATTACTGTGTTTTAATTCATTCCCCTCCCCTATGTTCTATCCCACAGCCTCTTAGTTCCTTCCCTTCTACCACCATTTTTTAAGGTTTTTAAAAAATATTTTATTATTTTTATTTTATGTGTATGAATATACTGCCTTCATGTATGTAAGTATACCCATGTCATATAATGCCTGCAGAGGTCAGAAAAGGGTGACAGACCCCCTGGAACTGCAGTTATGAATGATTGTTAGCCACCATATGGATGCTGGGAATCAAACCTGGGTCCTCTGTAAGAGCAGTCAGTGCTCTTAACCACTGAGTCATCTCTCCAGCCCTGCCCCCGCCACAATTTTTAAAAGCAGCTCTAATTTTAAAAATTGCTCTTTGCAATTAACATAAATTTTCTATTAGTGTTAAATGTCATGTTTTGACATATTTATATGCCTTTGAAAAACCACCATAAACAAGAATAATAAACATATCCATCACCTCCCAAAGTTTCCTCTTGTTCCTTTCTAAGCTTTCCCTCTTGCTCCTTACCATATCTTCATGAAAACACTGGCCTGATTTATGTCACTACAGTTTAGTTTGCATTTTCTATGAATAAAATAATAAAATATGCATCCTGTTTTGTTTGCCTCCTTGTATATAAAATAATTGTTTTGGGATCCATCTATGTTGTAGTATGAATGTCATTCCTTTTTATTGGAATTATATGGGTGTACCATAATTCGTTCATCCTCTTATCTACAGATAGACATTTGGGTTTTTAGTTTTTAGCTATTAAAAATAAAGGTGCTATGAATGCTTGTGTTTGTATGGACATATAATTTCTATTCTCTGGGGTAAATGGCATGACTGGATCATCTACATATGTAGATGTATTATTTAACTCTTTTGCTTAATAATGGCTTATTGAGATATAATTCTGGTATCATCCAGAACTAAAATCCCAGTTCATGGTTTCTAAAGCTTGTACTCTTTCTATTATATGATATTGGCTTTACCATACATGACTTCCAATGTATTTTTTTAATCATCCATTTTACATGGATTGTGATAATGCAACAAAGACCTGTTCCAAGACCAAATGGTCAAAGTCCAGTTACAACTGTAAAACTTAATTGCTTCAACTCTTTTAGTAGTTGATAGAAAATAATCAACCCCACAAAGCTGTATTGAAAATTTAGTAAAATAACAAAATTGGTGTCATCTTTTATGATGGGAACCAATATGGCATAGTGAAAAGAACACTGGACTTAGAATCAAAAGTCACACCTCTATCCCACTCTGTCACTGCAAGGCTGACAGTTTAGAGTCTGTGTGAGTGTAAGCTTTCCTGCCTACAACATGGCAGCAATGGCTATCCTATGCAGCTGTCGGGTATGCTGCAGGGCTAAATGAGAGAAGTTAAATATTTTTAGAAATATGTAAAATTAGAAGCCGGGTGTGGTGGCGCACACCTGTAGTCCCAGCACTTGGGAGGCAGAGGCAGGTGGATCTCTATGAGTTCCAGGCCAGCTGGGGTTATAGGGAGACCCTGTTTCAAAAAGACCAAAAAAAGAAAAAGAAAAGAAAAATGTACAATTATAGTTAACATTATTATAGAAAGTAGTATAGTACAATGTGTTATGTTTAGCTTATTCATGAGAAAAAGTCTTCATTTCTCACCTGAATTATATCCCCAGAATTAAAACTCATCTCATCATGGCTCCTTGCTTCAAAGGGGTATAAAGCTTTATAATTCACCAAAGCACTAGCTGTATCACCTAAAGAGAAGATAACTGTTATAATTCCCTACTTTTGAGTATCCAAATCTTTTCCATGACTTAATAGTTTTTAAAATCTAAAAGAAAAAAAAATCAAGTATTAAGTAATATAATGAGAATCCACTTAATTTAGACTTGTTAGGATGTAAATATCTTGCCAAGTCATAGAGTCAATATAAAGCAAAGAAAAACATTTGTCTTAAGTAGGAGACAGTTAAATTGGTAACTTGTAAGGTGAGACATGCACATGGATCTAAGGAGAAGTGTGGGAGTCAGGCAGATCAGGTTGTACAAAGTGGAATGAACTAAGCATAGAGAGAGGCATGGTTAGATCTGTGGAGGTGACACTATAATACAGAAGCAATGTACAAAAGGGAAGTCACAAATGAGGTCAGCAAGTAAACAGGACTGGGTGCAGAAAGAGCTATAGGCTTATCAACACTGTTCTAAAGGAAAAATAGAAGAGCTCAGAAATATACTTGATGAGATTAAAAATGTTCTATTTTGGTCTTTAAAAAATTTTTTTAAAAACATATTTTTATTGAGTTTTTGTGTATTTCATATAATATAACTTAATCAAATTTAGACTCCCCTCCCTGACCTGTGCCCCCCCATAGCCCCCCCACCAGATTTCATGCATTCTGTCATATATGTTAAGAAAGCATTTGTACCCAAATGTCCTTCAGTGCAAGTTCATCCATTGGAGTCTAGTCAGCCTATCTAGAGATCCTAACGAAGATCTACTCTCCCTCACCCAGTAGTAATCAGTTGCCAATAGTTCCTAGGCTAGGGTTTGGGCCTGCTGCCCATTTTGCTCATTCTATGCTGGGTTTTTGTCTGATTGAGTTGGCATGGGTCTTATGCATGCTGTCATCATTACTGCAAGTTCATATGAGCAAATTCCCAGTGGCCTGAAGGCCTCTGTTTCCTATGTTCATGCACCAACCTTGACTCTTACAATCTTTCTGCCCCCTTCTTTGGCAACAGTCCCTGAACCCTGAGTGGGTGAGGTTTAATAAATGAGTCCTATCCAGGGACACACACTTCTACAGCCACTTATTCTCTAAAACTTAGCCAGTTGTGACCTTCTGTGTGCATCTGTTATATAAGAAAGCTTTGCTGGCAAGAGTTGAGGGATGTATTAGTTGTTTTGGTCTTTTTGTTTGTTTGAGACAGGGTCTAGGTATGTAGCTGAGGCTGGCCTTGAACTCACAGAGATCCACTTGTCTCTGCCTGTTGAGTGCTGGGATTAAAGGCATGTGCCACAGTGCCCAGCTACTTTGTTTTTTAAATAAATGACTTGTAAAATTTTAAACATGTATCATTATTATGGATCCAAAATTTTACTCATCTAAAAGCAGATATAATATTGAAGTGTTTTAGGAATGGGCTCTGAAGTGTATTGAAAACAAAGTGTACCTTCTAAGAAAATTTAATGAGTGCAAAGACAAAATTTTATTATTGTTTCACTCAAATAAGTAGCTTATTTATACTGGTTAAATACATACTTTAAATCATTTCCATTTTGAAAACTGCATCAGGGTCTCTTGGGTTAGTCCACAATGATTATTCTCTTCATCTTGTTATGTTAAGATTTCTACCCTGTCACCCTATTTTAATATGCTTATACACTTTTCATCCAAGTTTCATTTAAATGATTTTTTTTCTAACTCTAAAATCAGCATTGTTCTAGTTGTTGCTGTTGTTGTGGTTGTTATTGTTATTATTATTATTTTCGCCTCTCATCAGATCTCTGTTCTTGTCACTTTCGTTGCTCTGCCTCAGATGGGGAAAAAAACTACCTTTATCAGTACTTTGTTTGGCCTCAGTTTTTTGTTCCTCTTCTTGAATTTTCTCTTGTGACTTTTCTTCCTGAAGTCTCTTCTGTTTTTCTTCTTCCTCCTTTCTAATACTTTCTCTCCACAAGTTTTCTTTTCCTTGCTTTGCTTTCCTTTAAATAAGAGAAACAAAGAGTTTGCCTATGTCCTAAAATGTTGTATACCAAAATCAAACCATCCAACAACTAAACAAGCCTAACAGAAGATATGGATCCTGTTAGTGGGAGAACTAGCAAGGAGGTGTTAACTGAGGGATGGAGAGAAACAGTGGAACTGAGGAATGAAGGTGAATCAGTCAGTCAAAACTGGTACACTAAAGATGAGCTGCAGAGCACAGCTGGAAGCTTCCCACACTTGTACTTCCCTCAGGCCAGCCATCTCTAAGTCCAAGGGGGAAAAAAAGTGAAAATGGAACCAAGCAGCAAATCTAAAAATTCTGTCCAGTTTCTCTGTAAGGCCTGCCTTTTAGTTTCTATTCCCATTATCCTACCTAGTCTCTGTCTAGGGCATTAATTCACAGCTGTGGAAAGGAGAAATGTTCTAGAAAGATCACTTAACTTTTTATATGATCACCTCCTAAAGTCTTTACATTCACTTATACAACAGCATTTTCCCGCTATGGGTCATATTTCTGGGCATGTGTCTATGACATACAAGAGCAGTGTCTGTGATCAGACTTCATTATTTTAGTATTGGAACTAATATACATTATAGTTCTCTCTTGTGTAATTTTATGGCCTTATTCTGAGAAAGAGTTGCTACCACTAAATTTAGTACCTTCCATAAGCCTCAGTACTATCAAAGTAGCAAAGACTGTGGTCAGGCACTGTCGGACTGGGGACCATTCATACCCCATCAAAGTGGGAACCTTGGCTTAATTTGAGGTCTCTTCCTTAATTGCTGAAAAAATGGGAAATTCTGTCTAAAAAAAAAAAAAAGGAAGGCTCTTCATAATCCTTTCTCTTCACTCCCAAATCATTTCACACTTCATAATTCTGGTTGATCATCCTGGTACTAGCATCCTCTTAATCTTTTGTAAACCCTTCACCTTCTATCACATCACAGCATGCTTCTACCAGAAGTTCTGCCCAGCTGAAATCTGGGTCTCCTTTGAGGACAAGGCTTTTCTTGTAGTTCTTACTTAATTTCAACTAACAGTCTTCTTCCCAGTTCCACCATAACTTTCCCCTACATGCCTCCAAGTCAAAGATGACCTAGTGGCCTTCACTGGATTTACCATAGTATTATAAAAAACACAGTATCAGGGTACTTAGCATATATTTAGTGGGACAGAGAGTCCATTAAAGCCTGGAAAATCTGACAAAGCTAATGGGTGAAAAACTAGTCCAGCACCAGATGACGACCCATTTATAATGTGAAAACCTAACTTACCAATAATTTAGAAGCAAATAGACAAGCAGCAAATCAAGGTGCAGTACTAACATGTAGCTTGGGCTGAGAAGATCCTACATGTACTGTGTGTTCCTTTGATTCCTTCCCTTTATTACAGTAATGCATTACTGTATATTAATGTACAAAGATGAATGAAATAAAAGTATTTATTACTACTAAGATTTGTTGTCCTGAAAGAAACTGTGGGATGAACAGGTATCAAGAGCTACATGCGTCAACAGAAAATGGTGGTTTAGTGATTGTGTGCTCGACCATTGCACAGATCCCTTGTGCAATGTTAAGTAGCACAACTTGAGTATCAAATGAAGAATTTCACTGTCTCTACTTCTATATTATTATTTTTTAATGCATGTGTGCATGCATATGTGTGGGTATATGTGGATATGTGGGTGGTCATGCATATAAGTACACAGATGCTCATGTGTGTTAGCGTGCATATAGGGTCCAGAAGACAATTTACACGTGTCAATCTTCAGAAACACTGCTCACTTACTTTAAGACAGGGTGTCTCATTGGCCCAGAGTTTATTAATTAGGCTAGATTGGCTGGTCAGTGAGTTGGAATTATAGATGTGATCTACTACCCAACATTTTTACATGGGTTCTGGAGATCAAACCTAGGTCACAGTACTTGTAAGAAAAGCACTTTACTGACAGCGAGCTCCCTGCCCCACTCCCCACTTCTATGTTAGTCTATTATCTCTGGGTAGGAAGCCACAGAAGTAGGGGATTAATTTGTCTAAATCTACTGTTAGATGTATGAGGAATTCAGGAGCAAGGAGTAAACCAGGGTTGATCTGCACATCACAGTCAACAGTCACTCCACAAAAATGAGCTGGAATTGGCTGTTTGGAGCTGCTAAGGATACAGTCCTACTAAGTGGAATATATCTATCCTACTTCCATAGTAACTGTTAACTCGTTCACAGACGTTATCTACCTACCCGTTAATAAAACAAAAAATATTGGCTCACTGATATTTGTTAACTAATTATACTAGTTCTGACATTGGAGAACTTGGAAAAACAAAGGAATGTATAATAAAAGGACTTTACAGACAAAAAAAATGCACAATTTCTAACAGAAAGGTTCTATGCTTCAGATATCACAATCTTCTTCCTTCTCTGCTATAAATGGAGACAATCAAGGTATCTTAGTGTCACAAAGAAAAGTACATCAACATAGCATTTGATACTGAGTTTTTAAATTATTTGTCTTTTGTGATATTTCAGGAAAAAGTAGATTTTGTAGAGAGATACAGAACTAATGAGAGCTTACTATGTGCAATTTGCAATATATATATCTGACACTTCCACTACAGTATTTATTTAAAAGGAGCAGTGCTTCTTTTATCAAATGGAGGAACTGAGGTTCAGAAAGATAAAGCAGCTGCTGCTAACTAAGGCCATCGGATAGTAAGTGGTAGACCAAGAATTCTGATCCAGGTTCTGACTCCAATGTCCTCATCTTTCACTAATGGAACATAAAATTAGTTACTGAAAACTCAATACCTAAAAGGATGACTGAATTTATAAAATTTAGAATCTGATTAGCAGCTCAAAATACTTTTATTACCTCTAAATTTTCATAAATATATGTGCAACAAAGAATTTTAATAACAATATAGTTATAATAAATATATCAGTTATATTGGTTACCTTGCAGCCTCATCTTCTAACTTCTTTTTCTGTATTTGCTCTAATCTCTTTCTTTCAATTTCCTTCAATTTGTCACGTTTGATCTTATGAAGTTGTTCGATGGCTAACTGCTGTGTATTATAACTTTCTCTCAATTCCTAAGGATAAAATGGAAATAAGTCAATATTCAAATGATTTAAATATGTTAATTGTATTTAACAATGTAGCATTTGCATTAAAAGACAAAATACTAAGGGAAGTATAATTAAAAGATTTTTAAGATTTAAAACATAGTTATCCAGATGATAAAAATATCTTGAATACAATTAAGTACTTAACCCATGGATCTACTAAGACAAATATATGTTAAAACCACCCATTTTCACATCAGCTCATTTAAAAGGAACATAAAATCTTTAACAAACCAATCACTTGAAGTGTTCTTTTCAATAGAACACTTAAAATATGGAAAACAATTTGCTTGTAATAACATTTAATGAATTCGGTCCTGTCATGTTTAAAAACTTTTTTATTCTGTGTATGTATATGTGTGTGTGTGTGTGTGTGTGTGTGCTTATATGAATGTATGTGTGAGGTGCACATGCATATGTATTTATGTGGATATATGTGTGTGGTGCACAGGTATGTGTGTTCCCGTGTTTGTAGAAGCCTTGAGTGTCATTCTTCATGCATCAAACTCCTTATTTTTTAAGACAGGGTCTCTCACTGGCCAGATGCTCACTGAACATGCTAGGCTGGCTGGCCAGTAAGCCCCAGGGATCTTCCTGTCTCCTTCCCAGTGCTGGGAATACAAATATACAAAATGGTTTTTTTACATGTGGTCTCGGCAGGTCTGTGTTCCTCACATTTCCACCCAGGAACAATCATCTACTCTTCGTCTAAATGATTACAGCATTTCACCTCCCTGCTCAGAATGATTGGTCAAAAGGACATGAACCTGATCCATGCTGAACCAGAATCTTCTCTTGGGATTCAGATACACTGAGCAGATGTTGGAGAAATAAACTTTTCTCTAGACTCATTAAACTGAGCTAAACTAAACCTGGTCTACCTTACTACCAAGTAAGACCAGGAGTGACAGGAAAGAAGTTAACACAAAACAGAAAAGTAAAAATTAGAGACAGAGGTAGAGAAGAGGATTAGGGGGACCAAGCCTTCAACTCCATCACTCAATGACCTTTTCCAGGAGCTAGTCTGCTCATTTGCTTCGTCTTCCTAGTATTACTTCAATAGTCACTACTTTGAATTGGATTTCTTTTACTTGAAATCTACAGAATCCTAAACAAGAAGCAAAAAAAGGGAGGCCGAAGGAAACAGAAAACAAACCAACAATAGCAACAAGTGGAAGAACAACAACAAAAGAAAAATAAACTGAAATCCTCAAAAGAAACTTCACTGTAAAGGTGGGAGCTAGGCAGTATCCGAGTACAATGTTTCAGTTTTAAAAATGGATATGTTATCCTCTTACCCCTCCAGCCATAAAAAAATGCCAAACCCAAACCAAGCCAAACTGGATTTCTTTTCAGAAACAAGTTTTAACAGGTAAATCCTGTTAAGTTGATTGCACTACAGATCTGATCTAAGGATAGTGTAGTGACTGAGTCTAAGATGTCTGAGCAACATGCTTGCAGCTTAAGCCAGTGACAATACAAACACTGCATTCATGGCAAAGCACATATAGCGCTTAGCTTCCACGGCTTTAAACTTGTTACTTTCTCTAAAGTTTATGGAAAAACAAAAGAATATGGTGGCCATAATCTATGGGGAAACAGGGCAATTAAATGTTAATGAGCATACCTTTGGGATAAGTCCACAAAAGTTTGAGTGAGGTTCTACCAGTAATGACCTGCATTATCTTTATTGTTCCCTTATCTGAACCTGTCTAGCACAGCTGTTGTGATGGTAAAATGAGTTAATTCATATAAAGTGCTTACAATGGCACAGTCCATATGGTTAAATTCTCAACATCAGGTTTATTGTCTTAAGCCATAACTCAGAATTCTACATTTTGAAGAAGTGTAAAGAGCAATCTAATGTCTGAACTTAACCTGCGTAATGTTAGCTCTCCAAGTATCCTTTAAGATAGAGCTCTAGTTTGAAAAATGTGTAATGAAACTAATTCTTTGTAAGCTAAAAAAAACCCAGCTAGGTGTGGTGGTGCATACCTTTGATCCCAGCACGTGGGAGGTAGAAAGGCGGGTGGATCTTTGTGAGATCAAGACCAGCCTGGTCTCCATAGCTCCATAGCGAGTTCCAGGCCAGCTGTGGCTACAAGGAGACCCTGTCTCAAAAAACCAAAAAAAAAAAAAAAAGAAAAAAAGAGCTCCAGGTATTCCTTAACTAGTACTATTTCATTCCACAATTAATGAGCTGCCTTGGGCTTCCAAGGTGTCCTGAGCATCCCTTTATCATAGTTGGTGTTTCCTGTCAACATGACTATTTCACCAAAGTGGGGGTCTTGACAAGGCTGTCTTTAATCAAGGTTTCCTCAGGCAACAGAGAGCCTGATACATTGTAGATGGATATTCATTCATTCATTCTAGACAGGGTCTCAGTTTATAGTCTGGCTGGGCTGAAACTCACTCTCTAGATCAGATGGGACTCAAGTTTGCTACAATCCTCCTGCTTCTGCCTCCCAAGTGCTAAGACTACAGGCATGCAGCACTATGCCCGGTCAGTGTAGATATTTAATAAATATTTTTTGATAAATTAAAAATGCATAAACAACAGTTGATATAGATTAAGACTGAAATGTACTAGAGGCTTGCAAAAACACTGCCTCTATCTACTTAAAATGATCCTAGAAATTGCTCTTTTACCCAATTCCTCTGGGGAAAATCACTGCTTTCAAGACACCTTGGTTAAATATATTCATTTATTAAGAAAAAGTATACCATGAGTAGGAGCCAGCAAGATGATTCAGCAGGTAAAGGTGCTTGGAGATCTAGTTTGATCCCTGGAATCCATGTAAAAGAGACAATCAACTTCAAAAAGTTGTCCTAGCGCTGGGGATATAGCCCAGGTAACAGAGTGCTTGCCCAGCATGTAATACTGGGTTCAGTCCTCAGAACTGCATAAACTAGGTATGGTGGGGCATTCCTGTGGTCTCAGCACTTGAGAGGCTAATTTAGGGCAAGAGGATCAGAAATTCAAGACCATCCTCAGCCTGGGCTACATGAGACCCTGTCACACACACAACAAAAAAAAAAAAAAAAAAAAAAGGAAAAGAAAAGAAAAAGAAATTCTCTTTAAGGAGCTGGAGAGATGGCTCAGTGGTTAAGAGCACTTATTGCTCCTGTAGAAGACCTGTTTGGTTCACAACACCCATGTCAAGTAGCTCACAACTGTAACTCCAGCTCCAGGGGGACCCGATGTTTCTGGTCTCCACGGACACCCACACTTGTGCACACACTGCATGCGTGCATGGACGCACGCACACACACATGTGCGTGCACAGACACACACACACTTAAAAATAAAAATTTAAATCTTTTAAAAATGTTTTCTGACCTTTGCATATGTGGTATATACTTGTGCCTACACACATACATCATACACAAACACACAGATACACACAAATAAAATGAAATTTAAAAAGTCATGAATAGAATTGTTCTCAGTCTATGTATGTATGTATGTATGTATGTATGTATGTATGTGTTTGTGTGATGCATATGCATGTGTGTGTTGATGTGCATGCATGTGTTTTGCATATTGGGTATCATCCTTCATTGCTTTCCACCTTATATATTGAGGCAGGGTCTCTCACTTGAACCCAGAGCTCACCAGTTTGGCTAGTGTAGCTAGCCATTTGCTTTGGAGATCCCTCATCTCTGCCTCCTGAGGGCTGGGATTATAGGTGGGCTGCCACAGCCACCCAGCATCTTTGTGGGTCCTGGGGATCTGAACTCTGGTTCTCATGCTTGCATGGCAAGTGCTTTATCCATTGAGCCATCTCCTCAGCCCGTTGGTCTTAGTTCCTTTTCCCGTTGCTGTGATAAAATACCCTGACAAAAGGTAACTTAAGGAAGGAAGGGTTTATTTTACCTCATAGTTCAAGATATAGTTTATCATAGCAGAGAAAGCAAGGCAGTGAAGCAGCTGGTCACATTACATTCCCAGTCGGAAAAGGGAATGAATGCCTGCAAGCTGCTGCCCAGTTCCTTCTCTCTACTATACAGCCCAGGATCCCCTGCGCAGGTAATGGTTCTACCCACAGGTAAGATAGGTCTTCTCACATTATTTAATATAATCAAGATATCCACCCCCCCCTGAAAAAAAAGATAATTCTCCCTAGGCATGCCCAAAGGCTCATCTCCCAGGTGATTCTGGATTCTCTGGATAGCATTAGTTGACAATGCTAATCATCACACCCTTGTTCTCAATTTTAGTAGGACTAGAAAGTAAGAACAGGGGCTGAGGAGATGGCTCAGTAGGTAAAGTGCCTGCTACCTAAGCTTGAGAACCTGAATTCAGATCCTTACCATCCATAATTCAGGTCCTATGAGAGACTCTATTGCAAAAAATAAAGGTGGAGAGTGATGGAGGAAGAGACTTCTGACCTCCACAACATGCCCATACCCACACAAACATATACAGCCCAGGATCCCCTGCCTAGGTAATACACACACACACACACACACACACACACACACACACACACACACACACACACACATACATACACACACACATGTTTAAAGTTAAGGTCAAAATAATAAACCCCCAATGGAATGAAATAGGATAAAGAGTCCCTCATCAGATTACTTTCCCATGTTTTGTATCAGAAAAAAAGAACAAATATAAACTAAGGTATTAAAGAATCTGGTATTAAAAAAATCTGTGCTGGAAAGATGGCTCAGTGGTTAAGGGCAACTGGTACTCTTGCAAAGGACCCGGGTTCAATTCCCAGCACCTACATGGCAGCTAGTGAACACCAGAACTCCTTTCTATGGGACCCATCACCTTCGTCTGGCCTCCACTAGCATTGCACACATGTGGTGCACTTACATACATGCAGGCAAAAAACTTAGGCACATAAATTTTGTTTTAGTTTTTGGTTTTTGAGACAGGGTCTCACTATGTAGTCCAGACTGGCCTCAAAGTCACAGAGATTTACCTGCCTCTGCCTCTAGAT